ATATATATTAATATATTCAGGTCCAAGTGTTTTTACCAAATTAGAATGTTTCAAGTAAAAAGGAATGAATCGATGTATTCTCTTTTACTCAACTGTTACAACTCAGTGGTAATTTTGACTCAAGTTCTGCTCAAGAAATATACTTACAAAAGAAAACTCTATTAAAATACACCTATATTATATACAGGTTGAAATCAGATGATCGGAATTACTGGGTAATCTTTGTAATAGGAAGTATACATTTTATGGCAAACTTACATGAATGCAGGTATGATACACAGGACCACTTGCGTAATGGCATACGCAGTTGACATAGAGAACTAACAGAAAATAATGAAAATGTGGAAGCTGGCTCCTAGGTAATTAGGAGACGAAACTGATGAGAAACACACACAAAAAAAGCCCAGAATTAAAAGACTCCTGGTTTTCTGTATTTCTGTGTCTGCAGCGTTCTGAAGAACGTTTTTGTTTGAGATTATAGAACTTCATTAGTCATGCTGACTACACACACAAACTGCTCTTCTTAAGTTAAGAGTTGAAGCAGTTTGTTCCTTTCTTAAATCATCGCATTTTTTCCTCTGTAATAAAGAAGGTTTAGAAAAGTTTCTTTTTTTTTTTTTTTTAACCTGATCAGGTCTTGGACTCTGCTGTTGAAGGCTTCCACCAGTGAGGATTTACTTTTCACTTCTTCTAGTATCTTCAGTGCAGTAGAGTGATTGTTTCCATCTGGGAATCTGGAGATTAGACATCTGAAAATCACAGCAGTTACCCTCAGAAGTCCTGTGGTTAAATCTTCGAATACCTGCCTATTTGCACTTCTGCCTGAAGTACCATTAGGCTCATCAGGCACGCTAACCTGAGAGAAACAGAGAAAAAAACAACAAAAAAGACAACCAGAATTCAGCAGAAATAATCAAAGTTGTAGAGAAACACTTAGAAAAATTGCGTGAGTATATCATAAGTAAAATATCACATTCTAGCAGTGCTGATGGACATGAAAACATTTCAGGTACAAGGAAGGATCTGCACCCCTTATGCAGATAATACAAGCTGAAACAGCATAAATCAAGTCAAAACAGCATTTAGTGTACGCGAACTGACGGAAGCCTTATAGCAGCAGAGTATTTCATTAGTATGAATGTTCTACGTGGAGAAACAGGATTTTTGATGAGTCACAAGCTTCTGCATAAGCGAATTCAGAACAACCTGTATTACTTGCTGAGGTACACAAAGAGGGTAATACACAGATGGTTTAAGCCAGCGAAAGAGGGCAACCTCCCCTGAATCGAGAGATGAATTACAGTGGTTCCCCTCCACGCCTGACAAAGCCTGAAGGAGAACTGTTAAATCTTTCAAAGTCTATAAAGAGTCCTGATTTTGTAAAAAACCAAAAGGCAGCTGAAACAGAAATTTCTGCCAGGGAGGGAAGGAGGCATGTAAGAACTCCAAAACTCTCCTGACTAAATCTGATGAGAAGGATCCAACACCACCCCCACCCCCAAAGCCAAACAAATCAACCCAAAAAGCAACTAAGGAACTGAGAAGACAGAAAAACTGCACAAATTCTAGGGCACAACTTGACATACTGGACCATCATCAAGGATGACATGAATTAGTAGGTCTAAAAGATGCAATGAGAAATGCTTTCTACCCACAAATCTCTACTTAGGCAAGAAGTCTGAGCGCTTTTTGTGGATACCTTCATATTTTAACTATTTAGAACAGCAGGAAAAATGTGTCCCTGAACATGCAATATAAAACAGCACCCAATAACCATTAAACTTGCCCATCAGATGTCAGTCACTTGTCAATCATGTCTGAAGCACAACATGCAGTTCTTTCTGAACAGACCTCACAGGAAGGGAATCCCATTTTTCTAAATCACTAAACTAGAGCCACTCCTAAAAAGGGCAGTGAAGTTGAGATGTACATCACATAGATCTGAAGACAAATCGACATGTAAGAGACAGACCTGGAAGGAAATCCTCATGGAGTGCAAGTTTCTTAAAACAGTTATTTTACTTGCTTATTCCTGCAGCACAAAGTAATTTAAACCAGCTGAAATCCTGCCCTGCTACGATCACGCAGTAAGTGAAGTGTGTGTGTGTGTAAGCCCTGCAGTTTTACAGGCAGAATGTTGGCAGCACAGATGCATCAATCACAACATGGGCTCCTCAGTACCTTCCCTTGCTTCACACCGCTGGACTCCACACACCAACAGCCCCCTGCAGAGGTGCTTTTATGAGACAGCTTGAGCCTTTCATCACTGTACTTAGTGATCAATATTGGCTGAAGCTTTATTTTCATTCCAGGTTAAAATCATTTATAGCCAGCATATGCCAGTGAGGGCACAGAAAACATTCCTCCCTGTATAGGTATCAGGAAGGATTCGGTAACACTTGGTGACAAAGAACAACATGCATGTTTCTTTATTATTCATTAGCTCTGAGCCTTGTGTCGGTACTTAAAACTCACTGTAATAGTCTGTTGCTGGTGACTAGCCAAGTGAGCAAGTGAGAAGCCTTTAGCTGCTTATTCAAGTTCAATAGGAAAAAATAATATTATGTTGCTCCAGTAACTTCTGTTGACTAAAATAATTCACGCCTAATGACCCTAATTGCCTGCTGAAACAGAGGGATTAGGCTTTGCAATGTATAAATCAATTGAAATGTGTGGTGACTTCGTACCAGGAACAGTGAGTTTTAAAAATTGTTACCAAATGCTCCTCACTGCTTTTTTACCCAAGATAAAAAATTATATGTAACTTATTTCTTAAAAGATTTAATAACATTTTGCAGTGGAGCCTTCCATTTGCTGTAATGTACAGTGCTATAAACAGGTAAGTCTATTTTTGAATGCACACAGAACTCTATTTTCTATGTCTACAGCCCTTAGCTCCACAAGTTCATGCTTTAGTGTAAGACTGTTCTTCCTAATTTGTAAAATAAATAGATCTGGTGCTCTTAATACAATCGTTTTATTGCAGAACTGATTTTTCCCATCTGATTCTGGGGCAAAGTGTACCTGTGTGTATTAATATGAAGTGAGAACAAATTTGGGTTTTATACTGTGTATGTCAAAGAGGAGGTAGGAGGAAATACAGAAAATGGGTAAATTTGAACTTATTATATATTCTATATAAAATTTATACATCATAATATATAATAAATACAATATATAAGTTACATATAACTTATAATAATTCCTATCTTTAACATTTCCCATTTAAATGAGTGACAAAAGATCAGCTCCTTTACCAAAGGAATAATTAATGGGGTAGTCTGAAAGTGTGTTGAGATTTATGTTCAAAATTAATTGGAGTGCTTGCAAAAGCGATGTTTTACTTTGCTTGTTGATTATTGTATCAGGCAAGGGGGTAGGAAATCTTAAGCTTTAATAATGTAATTATGAAAGCTTTCAAGCCCTGATTTCTCTGTGAGATAACTCCTACACAAGGAGTTAATGATACTCAGAAAAATTGTGTTTGCTGAACACGGGCTTTGGATGTGAGTGTTAAACCGTTGTGCATTTTTATTTTTAAGGTGTAACAGATTAACAGTTTAACTGACACAAAACTACAGCTATGATTATACACCCTGATTTGTCAAGTAATGGGTATAAAACATTTTTAAATCACAAAATAAAATCAGGAAAAATATTGTTCCCTTATTTCACACGTCCAACATCTCGGTGCTATTTTAGCATTTACGATGACTGCCTATACTGGGCCTAATCAAGACTCCTTCTTTCTTTAGATGGGTTCTTGAACCAGAACACTCTGATCAGCTTCCCTGCTCTTGTACTGTCTTCATACAACTGCTAAGCTATCCAGCAGAGAATTCCCCTTGTGTCAGGATACCCTTGCTTGTATTGAGCTGCCATAAGCTCTTCAGCTCTGCCCACCATCTAGGACTTAATCCTGTAAAATGCTGAACAATATGGCCCCAGTCCAGTAAAGCACTTAGGCACACATTTAATAGAGCTGAAAATGTTACTCCACTCTGACTCAAAAGTACCTCCACATATCACAGCACATTTTTTTTCCATGCCAACAAAAAACCCCACACCAGTTTCCAGTCAGCAACGTAGAGCTCTTGTCACTGAAAACTTACTTATGTTTTTATTTATCTAACGAAAAGCATAATCCTTCACAGCCATGAGGAATTTTAAACATAGAGATGCTAAATCTAAATGCAAAGTCTTCAAACCTTTTGAAGGGCCCAATTTCTGTTGATTTGATCACTTACGTGCTATTCTTCTCCCATTAAACAGCAATTATTTTGTGCTTTTTGCACTTACTGGGCTTGCCCCAAAAACACTCTGGAAAATGTATACTTTTAATATACTATCTATATGAACTTAGACTTTCTACACAGTAACTAGTGAACTAAAGAAATGAAAATGGCCCAGGAAGTCTATGGGCTTAAGATGAAAGAGATGAAGGTTTCACCTTTTAAATCCCCTACCCCTAAATACTTGAACATGTCATTATTCCTCCTACCACAGCCCTGTTTTCAAGACTTACTACAGGATTAGCACATTGGCTTCCTACTGAAGTGAATAAAGAAAATGTGAGGTTTTGGTCTTTTAAAAGTTACATTATTAAAAAGAAATAAAAATCCATGAAGTTCCTGGGCTTTTTTACATTGCCAACATTGACTGAACTGCATCAGAAATGATCCGATCCACAGAGCTGACTGAGGTACCTTTTTGCCAAACTTGATATTCTAGGTGCTGGTCCTCAGGTCTCCAACTAGAATCAAAACAGGAGGGAGAGAAGGTTTTTTAGATCTCTTAGTGACCAGGGAGGTAGAAACTCTCCACATGGCCTTGTATTAGGGGCTAGAAAGACTATCAGTGCCACAACAGCTGAACACTATGGAGATGGCATGTCATTTGAAAGGGATCAGGACAGCCAAGAAGCACATGTGCCTTTGATTTTACAGTTCTTGTCATTATCAGTGCAAACATGAAGCCACCTTACTTGTTGCATACAGAAGATGAAAGCACTGACCACAAATGGTTAAGAGACTAGCAACTGTGATAGGACGGAGACTGTAATTTTGAAGCACCCAAATTAAATGGCAGCACATACCAGTGAAGAAATGGAGGAGAAAAATTACTTCACTGGGACTAGATAGCCAGATTAACTTAAACCCAGCCAAAGGGATTGTACTTCATGAGTAAAATGTCATAGGCCACCTACCTACAATACAGTCTGTAGATTTAAGCACTGTATTTTAGAGAAGAAAAAAGTAACAGGAACTCACTTTTGAGCTCTACATTTGTTTGATCTCTACTTAGATTGCAATGCTCATTTCACGTGTTTTTACATTCACTAATGAAGTTTCACTTAGAATTTTCAGGTATTATGCATTTAAAGACTGCTTTTAAAAAAGGCTTTTGCAGTTCTGTTAGCATGCAACTCCAAAATGAAGCAAGAAAGACTTCATGTAATTTTGCATATTTATGTCAACAAAGAAATACAACAACAAAGATGTCTCAATTCCTAATTCTGAATGAGTACGGATTTGCATTATGGTTTAACTGGTAACAGCAAGTATGTTGTGATGGGAAAGATCTGACTAAATGAACAAAACGTGCTCAGAGTTTTTACGGGACAAGGTGGTCCAAAAGCTTTTTGAAATTTCCCTTTGATCCATCTGAGAACATAATAGTTAGAAAACAAACTGTCATGCTTTTCTTGTCGCGAAATCATAGAAGGACAGAGAGCAAAAAAACCCCACCAAGCCAAAAACCTCACCTGTTCACCAAACATAACGTTATTTGTAACTGCAGGCACAAGTATGTATGATTCATGTATGTGGCTTTTTGATACACCTTCATGGAAAAATACGTGACAGCTGCCACTTGACTAACAAGATAAACTGAAAGCCCTATCCTTACATGCTTAAAGCTCCGCATGGTAATTGTTCTCTCAGTGTAAAACCTTCAAGAATATACAATTAGAGAAATTCTCATTATTTTGCAATCATCCCCCAGGTACAGCAGACAAAGAAGAGCAAAGAGCTGTCTGAAGGTGAACGAGGTTACAGCTCGAGCAGAAGACATTCTACAGACGTAGGTGGGAAGCTTTGATCCATTAACCACCGAAATCAGGAAACACACTACTACTGACCTCCAGAGACACCAACTTGGGCATTACCTGAGCTAAGGAGGCTAAGAAAGGAAAAATGGTCAGTAAATGAAGTCTACAGAAGGTTTCCTACCAGTCTCTTCAGGTGTGAGCTAAAGGAAGGTCTAAACAGGACACTTACTTAACAATTAACCTGGGCAGGCTGGACATCACACACAAAAAAACACAGCCCATTTGTTATTCTACCATTTCCCATTGGTACCCAAGCTTTCACTACAGAAAAACTGTTTGGTTTTATGTAATTCTTCAAGCTATATTTTGAGGAGAAAAATGTTACACCCATTTAAAGAAAAATGAACTTTTGGTCACCAATGAGAAATGATAGTTTTGAATTCTATTCTTTCAAATGTACAGCTCTGATTTTTAGTAAAAATGAAGCTGACGCTGCATTCAAATGAAGACTAAAAACAAAACTAAAGCCACATTAAATTGGTTTAAAATAAGGTTCATACTGGTTATATTCAAGAATATATTTAAAGGTTGCTCAAAACTGGATTCTTTCTGTACTCATTATCCAGCAAATACTGGCATACTTGTTCAACAATTTGGTAAAACCTTGCAAGTATACTTTCTCATTCATTACTCCTGCTATTACTTGGAGTTTACTTTCCAACAGTGAAATGCACACAACACAGGCAAATGCAGCATCGTACAGCTCACCAAACTAGGAATACTGGTGGGGCGTCTTCTCATATTTGGGTATTCAGAGCTTGAGCCAGTCAAAAAGAGTGCTCTCTATCTGTCCATTTCTTTTTTTGTAAATAAGAAAAAGTCAAACTTGGCCTATTACATTTTCAAGAGAGAAAAATCAGGGTTAGAAAAGCAGCACAGTATTTATTGTTTGTACTTAAATATGTGCTTCACAGAACTATGAAGATATCCCAGTTCAAAGGCCAATTCTGCTTGAAAACATAAGAGACTTTATACATAGGAAAGAAAAGTCCACTGTGGATCACAGGAAACATTAATCTTTAATTATAGTTTTGCTGCAGTTTAGGGGTAGTATTTGGCAACAGACTGGAAACAGCTCTAAGTGTAGTAAATTTTTCTTATGCAGTATCTCTGATCTGTAGGTGGCCAGCATTTCCCAAGAAATACCCTCTGTGTTTCTCCAGGAAAAGCACAAGGCGCTTGCACAGTGCTACACTGAGAAAAGAGAAGGTGTCTGGCAGCAGAATGAATCTCATCACTTGGGAAGTGCTGAGGGATTTCATCTCCTGTGTAATTACCCACAGAGCCTGTGCTCTAGCTCACACTGGGTACACAGCAGTGACTGGCCAGGCACAATACATGCACCTTTCACTAAGTATATTTGAAATCTAATACCTGAAATCCTCTTGGAAAGATCTGGTGAAGAACAATGAGCTGGCAGCTACTTAGTTAGAGGAGAAGGCACAGGTTGCATTCGGGTTTTCTTTGTGTCAGGCACCTCTGGACTATCTTTTGAAAGTGTTCATCTACAGTCCTATGGCTTGTTGATTCTAACAGTCATTTAAATTATTTAAAGTATGTACATAACTTTTCAATTAACAAACTGCTTGGCTCATGAAAATACATACACACGATTTATAAGTAGAAAACCAAGACTAAATATCTTATGATAAGCAGGTCACTATGAATTAAAAATGAGTTTTCAAATAAAATATTTAATGACATTTCAAATTAAATGAAACATTGGAAAATAAAAACTTTCATATTAAAGAGTCCTGCTATTTAAGCACTTCAGCAAATCAAACTACGGCAATGTACTGACCTGACTTACATCCCCAATACTGAAACATGTAAGAATCAAACACGCAGAAATAACTCCTAATATTCTACACTTTAAGTATTGCTATAGGGTGAATTAAGGAAGAAAATCTCAGAAAACATTAAAGATAGGACACTGTCTGCTCACTAGAGTTCCTGGTACACGCGTTTTTGCAGAATCTACTGTCAGAAGCAAGTATATCTGTTTGGATAGAAGTATAAAAGATACAGAGAGATACCAAATACAACAAGAGTCCTGTTCTTTTGAGCCTTTATTCTCGTATACTTCCTGGTGTTCTTACACTCCAAATAATATGTTAGTGACGCATACAAAAATGTCTCAATTAAAATAACTATTTTACATACCATAAGCTGGTGTATCAACAGGTCCATTAGAAAAGTGATCTTATTGCTAAACAGAACGTAAGTGCAGTTTTCCGCACAATTACTGCAGGTGAGGCTGTAAACATTCACTGCACTGCTGAGGGACCTGAAGAATCAGAAGAAAAAGAAAACTAAGCATTTCACTTTTTTCTACGATATGTTAAGAGCAAATAAAGGGAAGCACATCACAAAACAATCCTTCAGCAATTCCCATTCATTTTCTTAAACTTGGCATTCCAGACGGAACTCAAAATTCACATGACATCTAAGATCACTGATAACTGCAGAGCAGTAAAGCCACACTTATCAGAAGTCACACAGTGTATGGCTGTTGGACTCTTCTGGATTCAGAATTTGTAAGAAAAATTACACAGAATATCATATAATTTCGTAATTTTGATACGTAATATTATTTTCTTGTAGCTTACACTTCTATTACACATGTAATTTGGCTATAAGGTCCCTTTCCTAGCAAAGCCTCAAGAAAAAAACACAAACCAAACTGTGTGAAACAATTCACAGTATACTGGGACCAGGTTTAGAGTGGCTGTTGGGCAGCGCCTGTGAATTAACGTACGGAGTGGAGAGGATCAAGTAGTTTTTACTGAGCAAGTAAAACTGAGCAGGTTAAATTCCTGTCCAAAAAATCCTCCTGACATGCTGGAACCCATGACTGCACAGAGCTTGTAAGTGCTAGTGTATAACTGCTGACCTACACCTATGGCTGGCTAGAAGAGGAAACAGGTCTGCAGTGGTGAGAACAGAAAATTGTAAGCACAACAAGCCACAGAGAGCTCCAGATGTACAAAACGTGCCCAATTATTCTTTGCATCATGTACAGTAATTTCCATCTGCTCCAATTAAAGTGTTCTTCTCCAAACAGGATTTACAGGGAAGCTGGGACCAGTCCTATAGAATATATTCACAGAGGAGATTAATCTGACCACGGATAAATACCATTTCAGAATAAACACAAAATTCATTCACTGAACTTTGCTCATTACAAAAGCTATCACTGTTACCATGCAAATATGCACACAGACACACAACACAAATGCATCATAAATATATACAATACTAAAAGATAGATGGCCAGAAATTCAAGTTGCTTGTCTGAAGTAAACCAAAAGGAAAAGAACTTTTACTTTGTTAGGGTTTTTTTTAACATTTGAAAAAACATGACTAAGTTCAAATAAGCTCCACAGAAGAAAATAAACTGTGAGCTCTGTTAAAAGGCCATACAAAAGCGGGACTGCAATAAACAACAAGTTACCATACAGAAATCCTCAAGGCTGGTATTTAACGTAACAAGCAGACTAATTCAACATACTATAAAGAGACAGTTGAGTTTTATGCTTTAGCCTTCTCCTAAAATACTTTTTGCCACAACAGAGTTATTTACACAACAAGGCAGGCTGTGGTGCTGCTTTCTGTGCTGTTGCTGTGGCCTCTCATTACTTATCAGGGCTCACCAGAGTTGAAACGGAAGCATCTTATACACATACACTATATGTTCAAACAGAGAAGCTGGAAATGCTCAAAGGCCACAAAATTTAGAGTAACCTTTTTTTCATTTGTCTTTCTGGATTGTCTTTTCTCCTGGAGAAATAATGTTGAATTTAAAAAAGAAGCCGTACTTCGCTTGGTTTGAGCTGTAAAATCATAAAGAACATTTATACCTTCCCTTTGTTAATATTCTGAGGATCACCATATTACCAGTTACATAAATTTTACTGTACTGGTAATTAATTTTACTGCCTACTTAAATCAGTTTCAATCTACAGTTCACATGGTATGAAAACAATATGAAATCATTATTTATTGATCAAAGGCAGGTTAATTTTCCCCTCTTGCATCTAACTTTTACTACATTTATCTACAAGGGTAACGCCTATACAAAATTCAGGAGCACGCTTCATGGGCATTTTTTAAAACCTGCCTTGCAGCAGGATTCTCTTCTCCTGTCGTGGCTTTAGAAAGGTATTTATTTCACCTTCCTCAGTAATGCTGAAAACAATTTTCATTAAGCACCCACTTTTAATTCTCATGGAAGATTATTCCTCTGTGTAGGTGTGTTTACAGGGAGAGATGTGGAGCTGTATTGGTAGTTTCTATTTTCAGGTGAGAAGTAGATGCGTTAAATCAGCATCTGCCATTTTATCAGCTGTTCTAAAATAAAGATTAGTTCTATTTAAATAGAAACATTGCAATTTACCCCAAGTGTCAAATATGAACTCGAGATGTTAACTTGTAACTTTTACAGCATTTCAAAGTTTCTATGGTAATTCAGTTAATTCACAGCAATAATGTTTTTTGATAAATATGGGATTCCTAATTCCTAAGATGATCATTCATTTTATGTTTGAAAACACAAAACCTTCCCACTTTGTATGTAGAATAAATTCCGCTGTAATAACACGTCATGCTTTTGTATTTCCCAATTGAATCTCACCAGAAAAAGTCCTTGCGTTTTCAGAGACTCAAATAATGCATTTGAAAAGGTGGTGTAAGCAAATGGATGTCAAATTAAACTTTCACAGCAAGAAAGAGGGCTCTTTTAATTGATAACATGAGCTTGCCAACTACAGTTTGTCTGAACACATTCTAATCACAGCACACTCGGAACTACGATTCAGTTCCATGGGGTTTGTTTAATTCAGAATTGGAAGTGTCAGCACAGAAGTTGTCCCCAGGTGGTTCGCAGGGTTAAATGGCAGATTAAAGACAGCACAACTAATTTCTTTACTTTAATCTTATTAAGGGAACAACAGCTGTCAACTGTCACCATTTCTGCACACGGCCTCTGAGACAAGCGCAGTGCGGTGAATGTCAAGCCAGAACTTTATTTAACCACCACTTAAACTCTCTGGGCTGAAAAACCCCATACCTTTCTTACCATTTCTTTTCCTGTCAGAAGCTCTTAATTCCAAAAGTTTTAACTTGAGAGATGTTCAAATCAGTTACACTGATAAAGTATGACCCTCACGTAAAGCAGCTGTTTATTGATTACTGCTGTTGCTCTAAACTTCGTATCACACCCACAAATCAGCTTTAGAGCTATGTTAGACAGCATGTATACTCAAACCACACAGTAAGTCTGCCCTCTGAATGTAAGGCTTTCCTCTAGAGTAAATCCAATTATAAAAACACTCATTAGGGTACACAAACTTTGATCCAAAAAATAAATCTGGCTTTAAACTAGACAAAACCATGCATCTGTATGTTGTATTTATTTTAGACGAGTCCAAAGAAATAGGAAGAGGATTTATTTTAGTCAACATTTCCAAGCTAGATCTCAACAGTTTATATGTATGTATATGATTTTCTTTTATGCTAGCACATCTTCACTTCCCTCAGTTTGCCTAAAAGAAACAAGTTGACCAACTATCATTTCCATTCAAAATACCAGGGCAAGAATAGTATCCAGCCACCCAAAACTAACCCACCCCAGTGCACCAGGGCATGTAGGGGAGAGCTTGCAACTTTTGCTTTGCAAAAATCAAGGCAGCATTGACTCCCTAGTTCCTGGCCTATCAATTGTTTCATTGCGAGATCTGGTTCTCAATCCAAAAGTTTCTTAACATTTCACAGAGCATCTTTCAACAGTAAAACTTGTTCCTGTGTTTCACGGAGAGCAACACTGCTTCATTCTTAAGCTCCAAGAGCTTGAAATCCAGCTCTGGGTCAGGCAGCAAGAATACATAGACATGGAAAGAGACAGATGCCGCAGGTTTCAGATGCTGAACTTCCACCCTGGTCATTCTCTTTAGAGTATCTTTATGCCCTTGTACCAACTCCTAGTTTCAAATGAATGTTTCTCTAGAGGGAATAACAACCTTACAAGAGAAGAAGATAGCCTGTTTTGCACTTTACATACAAAATTTGTGAACAACCCTATAGAACCACAGAATCCCAGCCTGGTTTGTGTTGGAAGGGACCGTAAAGCTCCTCCAGTTCCAACCCCTGCCCCGGGCAGGGACACCTTCCACTGGAGCAGGTTGCTCCAAGCCCCTGTGTCCAACCTGGCCTTGAACACTGCCAGGGATGGAGCATTTACCACTTCTTTGGGGACCCTGTGCCAGCGCCTCACCACCCTCATAGTAAAGAACTTCTTCCTTATATCCAACATGAACTTTTCCTGTTTAAGTTTAAACCCACTACCCCCTGTCCTATCACTACAGTGTCAGATGAAGAATCCCTCTCTAGCTTCCCTCTAGGCCCCCTTCAGACACTGGAAGCTGCTCTGGGGTCTCCACGCAGCTTCTCTTCTCCAGACTGAACAGCCCCAATTTGCTCAGCCTCTCTTCCTAATGTCTCATCTCAATCTCCCCTCTGGCAGGTTCAAGCCATTCCCCTTGTCCTGTCCCTCCAGGCCCTTGTCCAAAGCCCCTCTCCAGGTTTCCTGGAGCCCCTTTAGGCCCTGGAGCTGCTCTAAGGTGTCCCCTTGAGGAGCCTTCTCTTCTCCAGCTGCCCCAGCCCAGCTCTCTCAGCCTGGCTCCAGAGCAGAGCTGCTCCAGCCCTCGCAGCAGCTCCGGGGCCTCCTCTGGCCTCGCTCCAGCAGCTCCACGTCCCTCTTGTGCTGTTCCCCAGAGCTGGATCAGGGCTGCAGTGGGGGTCTCCCCAGAGCACACCAGAAGGGGAGAATCCCCTCCCTCAACCTGCTGGCCACACTGGCTGTAGAACTGAATGAGTAGTAACAGCACAGCTTAACAAATGTATGCTCATAAAATCATGTAAAAATTATAAAGAACAAGCTATAAAACCAGTTCCCAGCTCAAAATAGTTCTTACTGAAAGAAGTAATTTGTATCAATCCCATTCATAATATTATGTGGGCACTGTTTTCTGCTTTTTATGTAATTATGGTTCAGGTTTTTTTACCCCCTTAATACTTGCTTTAAGTATATGATGCAAGAAATTGTATGAGTAGAGAAGATACCTTATAATAAACCCGACTTTAATCATGTCTTAACTTGTAACAAAAGTCCTCCTTTGTTCCCTATACAACTCCTGCTAATTTCTATTCAAAAATGCTGGTAATCCAAGGAACTCAAAGTACTTCACAAATATTAATTAAACAAACCCTACAAACCTCATTTGTTAGCAGAACTGTTACAATTCTAAAGGCCAGTAACATGTTATGGCACAGAAGGGCACAGAAGAGTTGCCCATAGCAAATATGCGAGGCAACGCTGGGGATGAGACTTATTTTCTGGTCTTGATTTTAAGTCATCAAAATGTTTTGCTCTGGAGCTCTTACTTGGTTTTCTGTAGAAGCATAAGAAAAATACCATAAGACTCTGAAAGCTCTTGAAAATTCTGCTGAGTATGTCTTATTTTGTGGAGAACTGAACAAATACAGGGAAATTACAAATGCTACTTCAAGAAATAATGCAGCTGAGCACTAATTTGTATGTTAACACCAATAATAAAACGTACTATAATCCCCTGCTTTCTCTTTTCCTTTCTCCTTATTTGAAGGAGAGAAAAATTGCCTCAACACCAAATGTATCATCTGACTCATAAATGTCACATCTTTTTCACAGCATTTGCTGTCCTGCTGGTCTAGCTCCCAATCTGGACAGTAGTCCAAAACAACAAGCATATTGTTAAATCTTCTGATAATAAAGCTTTATCTTGTAGACATGGGATTAATGTTCTGAGCTGCACCATACTGCCAGGATTCTGGAGAAAGAGAGATGGAGGTAAAAGCCTATGTAATCTCCTCACCTACTTGCAAATAGCTTATCCTCATCACAAAACAACAGATAAATTCCTAATATAAGATGAGTACAAATGGTTATGCATTGCAAAAGCACACAAACAATCTTAAGTACAGCAGGGTCCTTTGGCAAAGCAGGGGCAATTAATGACAGGTCTTAATTCAGCTTCTTTCCATAGGGCTTTGCTCTGTCTTTAAACGGAGAAAACTGCCCCTTCTCTATACTAAAATTTTAAGAAGTCAGGATGTAAATTACATTTGCACAAAAGGTATTTCCTCATTTAAAGAACAAAATTATGATTATCCTTTGGTTTTGAAACTCTCTCAAACATTCTGTGTCTAAAGCAAGCCATTTGAAGACCTCTTTAAATACTTTCAGCGAGGCCGTACTAATACACATTAACACCATTCCTCTAAACCAGCCACGTTCCTGCCTGCTTCAAACTGCTCATACAAAGTCCCACCCCCTGGAACTGCTGCTTGCTCTCAACATTTGAGTTGCAGACTTTGCACAAATTATGTTCTTCTCTATCAGAAAGACAACCCCAAAAATTACAATAGAGGAGGTTTTGCATCACATGCAGCAACACCAAGTTCACTGTGACACTTCCAGCAGACTCTGAGTTAGACTCAAGCCGTTAGTCTTACACAAAAACCTGCAAGAGCACATGGCTTTAGAAAGCAAAATCCTGTGTTAAATTACATGCAACCTGATGTATACCTTCCAAACTCCAGTATTTTCAGATGCCTACAAACTGGAGACTATGATCTGCTGTAATGTTGAATGAACACTCTTTCAGTAACTGAGTGAAATTCTTCAGGAGATTATTTAACATACAAAGCTATTAGAAGAGTTTGTATTAATCTCTTTCCTGCCTTGAAATTTCTTTTGGAAACACAGAGATTTGAAAACTTGCATTAATAAAACAAGGTCTGAGGAATTTTTCAAGGGTTTAAAAATTCTTTTTATAATTCAGTCATGAATAGGCTCAGGCATCTGAGAAACCAGTTATACTGGTCTGAAATAGGTATGGGATAACCAGTAAATGTTGCCGAGAGAAGCACCTCTGATAAACCTCATGTTTTTTCTGTTACACAAATGTAGCTGACATGGGGCTTTATTTACCAGCACACAAGTTCCTCTGAGAACTAACACATCTTCACACTGCCTAAAAAGTGTCAAACACAATGTTCTCAGTGACACAAATGCACTATTCCCAAACCACCTCAACAAAGATTGCCAAAGTGAGACTATTCCGAAAATGAAAGAAAAAAATCTGAAGATGTATAAAAGCTGCAGACTCTAAGAATGTAAAGCTAAATGTAAATCCAACTTTGTGTGGCCGTTAAGTCTTAGCGCAGCCCTTTCCCTTGCAAAGTTGATCTCTCCACGCTGATCCCACGTTGATGAGGGTAACTCAGAATTAAGAGTCTCTGCAAGTTAAGGAGGCCAAAGGCTGCTGCTGAGCTGCTCCCCACAGGACCAGTTCAGGACTGCTCACCAGTGGAGCTGGCTGGACCTGCAGAAAGTGCTTTCTATGTGACTCAGCAAGAAAGTGGAGTTTCATTCTCTTTGAAGAGCGAAGTGAAGATACGAAAAGCAAGCTTTTTCCTTGACGCTCTTTTCTAGCACTTCACAGCTGCCCCGTAACATATTAATGGGCAGTTTTAATCCAAACCCACACAATGTAGTGCTTAAATTCCAGTTATTATAATATTAAAATATACCTACACAAAAATTATGACAATGGTACACAAGATGTCCTGGGCTTGGTTCCTCTTGTACTAAAACCATGCCTCACTCTGCTCTGACAGCACATATATGTTTTTGAATGGATAAAAATTTCAGTTAGAGATTAGGGAAAAAAGCATGCTTTTGAGTTATCAGTTTTTACAGGCATTCACTTTAGTCACCACCTTTTTTTTAGGGATTAGACATTTAAATCCTTCTATTCTGATGTGCTATAAAGAGGAATTCCTGTAATCCACAAGAATTTTGACTTACCTGTTTGTAGAAGCCCTTTCAGCTAGGAGTATCTTACAACTGCTTCATTTTAAAAGCATTCAGGCTCCAGCGAATTACAACCCTTTGAAAAATTCCCCCACTTCCCACTAGACATCTTTACAGACTGACTTCAAAAGATATGTACCTCCTCTTCTGTTTAGTACAGTTTTCTCTCTTTTCTCATTTTGTACAATGAGGGATGCCCCTGCTCAAATATATCAACCAAATATAACCACCAAGTTAGAAAACCAGGGGCTGAGTGGAAATGTCTTTCACCTTCCCTGGCAGCATAGAATATGACAAGACTTTTTTCTTTGAAGCTTAACACTGGATTATGAGAAGGAGAAGCGGTGAAGCAGCAGATGTGAAACATATTCTGGTGATTCCAAGTGGCAAATGAAGGACCCATCACACTTACTTAAAAGGAATCCGTGAAACTGCCTTCAGATTGGTGGGAGAAGTCACTGCTTGAAGAACATTTTCAAGGGCAGTCAGTCCTCCCGCAGCTCGAAATACTATTTGGTCTGCTGTGTTCTAGAGAAACACACACACAGAAGAGAACCAACATTCAATTAAAGAAATTCCTACATAACAGATATGCCAGGTAGACAGTTGGCCTTAGTTTTGTCAATGTAGAAAATTCTCAATACATGGATTTATCGTGTTAAACACCTATGGAAAAGAGCATTTCACCACAAGTGCACAGGGAAGAGCATTGTTTAGAGTGGAGTTGAAATTCTCAGGTGCTATTTTATTCAAAGATTATGCATACATATCAAATACTCTACAGCTGATACAGTCGAACTGTTGCTGCTATCTTTGTAGCTATACTTTATAGCTTTGGATATGATTTAAAGAACACAGACAATCTCTAGGTGGGTACTTCCTCTTTTCATTGAACTCTTCCGAAAGGAGACAGCCTCCAGGCTTGTTCCCTGATTTGTTCACTGTATGCATAAAATAGCTTGGGCAGATCCCTTTAGAACATGAGCATCATCTTCTGGTTGATGACCCCTGGTTACTCATTTCACAAGAACATGGACCCCACAAAGTCAAGTCACTGATCTAGAAGAGAGCCTGACAGCGTCACCACTCAGATCATAGATGTCTTGTTTTTTCCTTAATCTTGGAAAGGCAGAAATGTTGCCTGATAGATGCTGTTGAGGATACAAGCTGGGCAGCTGCTCTGTCTCCTCGAATTAACTGCTTAGAGTTTAAGAATCAGGTTAAAATTCCGGATGCGATTTTTGGTAGTACCTCAGTTACTGGAAACTACAGAAGGCACAGAGATGACTGGTGTAGTTTCGCTCTTTGGCAGCTCCCGACTTACTGCCCTCCCAGGTTCTTTGTCTAATCCACTGCCTGCAGCTTACTCAAAATGCAGCAGAATGAATGAATATTTTTAGCTCTGATGTATGACACATCTAGTTTGTTTTGCTTTCGTTATGCTGTGTTGCTGGTTATAAATGGAAAGGTTCAATATCAACTGGTCTTGTAAGTGTCCCAGCTTTCTAAATTAACCTTTCTTTATTATAGGTGCCCTCTCTGAACTTCCACTTAGCAGAATTTTACACTTTAATACCATCCTTGAATTTACAATTCGCAAATTACTGAGTTTTGGCTGGAGCAGGTCCTGTGTTTTAGAACTTATTCATGCCCTTTTCCTTCCCTGCAAAAATAGGTTTTATCTCCTACAGTTTAAAATAAAGCAAGTAAGATATTTTTCTTCTCTACTTTTAAGTTGCTCATTTTGTCTAATTTTGTTGGCAGTTTGTATTTAATCAACTTGATTTTGTCAATGATGAAGATACTCTAGTTAATAAGAAATAATTTCTTTCTTCCCTTCCCTCCCCCCCCGAGTGCTACAGGCACTTGGCACATGGGGAAAAAATGGGAAGTGCTCTATAAATACAATAATTATTGGTCTGTAAAGAATGTATTATATTATACAGGATGCGTAACAGAAAAAACTCCTAGTGACTCTGGCAGTAAAATCTTTCTTTGAACAACTGGAAATAAAAGTGAGCAAGATAGGATTTAGAAAGGAAACATTTTTCCCTGTGGGAATTAGACATTAGATTAGCTGTAAATCCAAAAGTATGTATCTTAGGTTGTGTTGTTGGGTTTTTTTTAATCATGCAGCTTTCTCTCCATGATATTTCTTTCAAGCAAACACCTACACCTAAGTTCCACGCTGCGCTGTGCCTGGAGTAACTGCAGTAAGCACTGACCCCCGCCACGCTTTCCATCGACCTCCTGATGGACTCGTAAGGAAAAGACAGCCAAGCAGCAAAGAAACAGTCCTGTCACAAATCAGGTCATGTTAGTGGAGCACCTTGGCTCAGGGCCACAGTTCTCCAGCGTCCTCCTCTCCTCCCCTGCTCCACCAGTGCTGCAGAGCACAAGCCCAGGGCCCTTCCGAGCTATCGATTTTCACTTCAGCTTAAAACTTCATAAGTGTAAGGAGAGATTTTGTTATTTCAGGGCTGCATTTTCCTTGGCAATCAAGAGACACACAATAATAACCAGTGTAGACAAATGTGCATGAGGATTTGTGTGTGATTGGCATGCTGGCACTGCAGCACACCAACTGGAAAGACATTTATGTGATGCTGCTGATTTATTTGCTACAGCTTATTTGTTAGTGTTACTCCAACGTTAAACGTGCCAAGCGCTTCCCACTTCTCACTTTCCCTATTTCTCATGGGAGATTATGCCACAACCTATTAGCACTTGTGGCGAAGAAGCCTTGCCTGTCACTTAGACCAAATATGCCCTTTCTCTATTTCATCCCATTACTCTGAGTTATATCCCATTTTATTGCACTCGTTTTGTTTCTCCTCTCAGTAATTACTTCATTCTTGAAATCATACACTGCTACATTTTCCTACTTGGCTTGTTTCTCAAGTCTGTATACTCATTAATGCTAAACCCATCCTGTTTTTTCTTTTTCCATGGAAACTCTTCTTATCTGTGATTTTTTTTCCAGAACTCTTCTTTTCTGCATAAATACCTAGTAATGAAGTATCCAGAAAGAAATTCCCCCCCCAGATCAGTCACCAGAGCCACACTGAAAGAAGCTGTAATGTTTCCCTACTTCTGAGAGGAGATCTTCATTTAAAAAGAATATTAACCTTTTGAAGCTGTTTGATTTCCTATATGCTCGCCTTCCACTCAGATCTGGAGCATCGCTCCTTTTATAGACAGACTCCTTCCAGAGTGCCTGTTTCAATTCTGTCTAATACTTTGCTAAAATACAAGTACACTTTGCAACATACATATTTACATCCTAATGAACTTCCTTTACTACCACAGTTTTCTATGAAGCAGAAGCAAGTTTGTAATTTCTCCCAGTTCTACAGGATTTAGCCTTATGTGCTATTATTCTCCTCTCTAGGTTACTCATAAAAATTAATCAGCATTTGGATGCATAGCCATCAGGGAAATAAATCCCTAACTATGTGCACAGAAGAGGGGGAAAAAAACTTCAATAAAAGGAAGAAACAAACCAGCAGCAAAACTTGGGAAGATGCATGAGCACAGTATTTGTTTACCATGCTTATAAAGGACTATATAACTGCCACATAGGGTTTATGAATACACTACTTCTGGCATGATATTTAATGTATTTATCTCCAAGGATTCTTGTAAGATGGAGAGATCCAAGAGCTTTTAACCTGTCTGTCAAAAGGCAATGTTGATTACCATAGTAACTGCTGGTACATGGTGCTTGTGAATGCCCCTGGTCACCAGGCAAGCATCCTGCTATCAGGAATCCCAGGTTCAGGCACAGCACCTTAAGTTTGGACTTGGGTCAGCGGAGGTCATGGGAACTGAAGGGAAAACGTGCCCTAGCCACAAAGGGCCAGAAGAGTCACTTGAATATTGCATCACTGATGTTTTCAGAGTGAACATTGTGTGACCTGTACCAGAGGAAACGGTGAAAAAAGGAAATGTGCCCAGGCAATCTCTCAGCTAACCACACTACAAAACCTCGTATTGATGAGCTGTGCATAAAGAATGCTCCAACCCTGGCAGTGCTCAAGGCCAGGTTGGACAGAGCCTTGGGCATCACGGTCTAGTGCGAGGCGGCCCTGCCCATGGCAAGGGGTTGGAACTAGATAATCTTAAGGTCCTTTCCAAGCCAAACCAGTCTATGATTCCATGATACATGAACAGTATTAAACCTCCCCAATGTTGATAAGTATTATCATTCTATCTCTGAAGTACAGCAGCCAAATAATACCAAATTATTTTAAAGTAAGCCTGAATTAATTCCTACTTGAGACAATTTTCAAATTTTGAAGTATCTGTGTATTCACCTAAAGAAATATTTCTTAAAGTATAAACATATGGGAGCAGGCTATCTTACCCAATTTAGCTACCTTTCCAAAATTAAGCTATATCCTTCAAAATACAATACAAACTCACTGAATGGTCCATAGTGCTAAAGCTTGACATTAGCTGATACATAGCACAACATAACAGGAATTCGAAAGAGGTAGATTGATGCATGTAAGTTATTCAAAGCCCCTACTCACAGAACATTCTTATTCAAATTGGTCCCTATTTAAATCTGTGTCAGAATGAAAGACTCGTTCAGGGAACAACGACTTCTACTCTGGTAGCAGCCAAGGCAGTGAGCAGATCAGGTACCACGTGAGGATGAAAAAGGACAGATTCTGCAGGGAGTAAATACTACCTCCCCATTTGAAAAGAACATAAACCAATATGGCACATCTTGGCTGCTTGAAAGAATCCTCCAGACTTCTAACTTAGTCTCCCAAATTACTTAGGTAGATGTTTCTGAAACCTATTTCATCATTTCACCATAGAAACTGAGTGGCTGCATATTTCGACTCGGAAGGTTATTCAGAAAAGGCAATCAACGTAACAGGATTCATATTTCTTGAACAAAAGAAAACACATAAACATCTGGTTTTCAAACAGTGTGGAAGAACTTGGCTTCCTCATTCATATTTTCAGAAACTCACGACTACAAATAGTATTTTTAAACTGTCTGATTTCTAAGTACAGAAGGATTTCAAGGCACTCACGCAGGAGAGCAGGGACAAATGATCATGTAGGCAAAAGTGGTTACTACTACCATCTATGCACTTCTTAACAGAGAGAGGAGGAGGCACAAAAGCCTTGGGGATGCCACCTAGATGTGTCTTAACCATTAGCAAAACACTAACAGAGGCTAAGTCTTCAGAGCAGCTGATGTAGCACTGAAGTCAGCACATGGAGAGAGTCTTGTTTTCCTTATCCCTCTCAGGCCTACCATTGTGAAATACAGTGGTCTTATTTGTACAGGAAGAAAGCCAACACAGCTGATGTGATATGAAGTATGTATTTTTAATCTTTGGACCATTGTAAACTTGTCATTTAGAGCACATGGCAACTAATTTCAGCAGAAGAGTGCATGAATCAAGTAACTTTAGCAGAGTGTGTGTACACCATTGCATGCGTGGCAAAGGAAAAAGAAATAACAATCAATTAAACAAACCGTCTAACCATTTTATATATTAATT